GTGATTGGCAGTGTGGATGGAGAGAAATGTGAGTTGGATGGTGAACGGTGAACGGTGAACACAGTGTGCATGTGGAGGCAGTGTGACAAATTGGTGTGGGATGGTGGGTGATGTGCATGATGTGTGTATGTGCGGACTGTGTAGCAGCTAGCTGACCGACCGATCGACCGACCGACCGACATCATGGTTGTGAAGTTGCAGTGTTCGAGGCAGGTGCAGAGCGTGGTGTGGTGGTATGGGATTGATTGATTTCGGTATGTTGAGGAGGTGGGCAGAGTGGACGACAGTGTGAAGGGATGGATCGCTGTCAAAAGTCGTTAGCAGAGCGTGGTTTCGATCCACGGACCTCTGGGTTATGATCCCAGCACGCTTCCACTGCGCCACTCTGCTCGATTTCGCTAAACAACAACTCACTCAGATCATCCATCACTAACCAACAGCAACAGTCACCAACGATCAATCACTCACTCAACCACACAACTATCATTCACTCGATCAATCACTCGATCAATCACTCGATCGTTCGCTCACTAGCCTGCACGTTCGTGCGTTCATTCGTTGGTTCGTTGGTTCGTTGGTTCGTTGGTTACTTTGTACTTTCGTTATTTAGTTGTTTCTTTCAATCATAAATTCATTCATCCATGCGTCCCGTCCATCCACGCTTCACTCCATCCATCCATTCATCCACTCCGTATAATAACTATCCTAACGAACATTCTTCAGTCAACCGACCAACCGAGCATTCTCACTCAATCACACACACACACACACACACGTGCACACTGTTTATCAGTCACTCCGACCACATCAACACCACTCACTATCCATCCTCATCCACCTCCACAGTCTCATCCCCTCCAATCCCTCATATCGTCCACCACTAGTCCAATCATTCTTCTGCCTCAACACCTATCTCCACAACCATTTTGTACACCGACTGACTCGTACATCCACCTCTTCCCACTCTCCTCTCTCTACTAACCACTACTCACTCACATTCATTGTGCAACAATCCACATCGCCTCTGCTCATCTCTCTGCACACAACTCTTCTGCTTACTGTGTTCTGATGGCCTGCCTTCCACTAGTCTACCTGTCCGTTGTGCGGCGCATTCTGTCAGCCACTGTGCCCCTCACCAAACACATTCTTCTTCTCAGCTCCTCCATTTCCCCACACTCCGCCAATGTCATCACCCGATCACACTGCCTCATTCATCCTCTTCACCGTCACCAACATCAATCTCACTACATCTCGGTCAGTCGCTCGCTCGCTCACCCACCCATTCACACACACACACACACACACAACAACGGAACTCTCGAGGACTCGAGTAGGCACACTGTCTGTTCCCGCCGCATCCAATCTCTTGACAGACAGACACAAATTAACAATTGTGATCAGATCGATCACATAGTCAGTCCATGTGAGTAGTCATCCATGTGGATAGGAGTGATGTGGTGGTCTGATCGATGAGTTAGTTGTCAGTGAAGATGGGCGACCTTGCTCTCACACTGTTCGACACTGCTCGTGAGGACAGCCGATCCAACAACAGCGACAATAACAATCAATACCGGCAGGTACTAATGCAAATACAGTTGGTGTGATGAAATGTGGTCGTGGGAGATATGTGGTAGAGACGGAGTGGAGTGGACAAAGACTGACGAGCAGCAATGCATGAGTGTGACGATAGTGCACATATCCATCGACCTGTGAGTAAGAGGTGGACATGCAGACACACACACACACACAGATCAGTGTGATTGGCAGTGTGGATGGAGAGAAATGTGAGTTGGATGGTGAACGGTGAACGGTGAACACAGTGTGCATGTGGAGGCAGTGTGACAATTTGGTGTGGATGGTGGGTGATGTGCATGATGTGTGTATGTGCGGACTGTGTAGCAGCTAGCTGACCGATCGACCGACCGACCGACAACATGATTGTGAAGTTGCAGTGGTCGAGGCAGGTGCATAGCGTGGTGTGGTGGTATGGGATTGATTGATTTTGGTATGTTGAGGAGGTGGGCAGAGTGGACGACAGTGTGAAGGGATGGATCGCTGTCAAAAGTCGTTAGCAGAGCGTGGTTTCGATCCACGGACCTCTGGGTTATGGGCCCAGCACGCTTCCACTGCGCCACTCTGCTCGATTTCGCCAAACAACAACTCACTCAGATCATCCATCACTAACCAACAGCAACAGTCACCAACGATCAATCACTCACTCAACCACACAACTATCATTCACTCGATCAATCACTCGATCGTTCGCTCACTAGCCTGCACGTTCGTGCGTTCATTCGTTGGTTCGTTGGTTCGTTGGTTCGTTGGTTACTTTGTACTTTCGTTATTTAGTTGTTTCTTTCAATCATAAATTCATTCATCCATGCGTCCCGTCCATCCACGCTTCACTCCATCCATCCATTCATCCACTCCGTATAATAACTATCCTAACGAACATTCTTCAGTCAACCGACCAACCGAGCATTCTCACTCAATCACACACACAGACACACACACGTGCACACTGTTTATCAGTCACTCCGACCACATCAACACCACTCACTATCCATCCTCATCCACCTCCACAGTCTCATCCCCTCCAATCCCTCATATCGTCCACCACTAGTCCAATCATTCTTCTGCCTCAACACCTATCTCCACAACCATTTTGTACACCGACTGACTCGTACCTCCACCTCTTCCCACTCTCCTCTCTCTACTAACCACTACTCACTCACATTCATTGTGCAACAATCCACATCGCCTCTGCTCATCTCTCTGCACACAACTCTTCTGCTTACTGTGTTCTGATGGCCTGCCTTCCACTAGTCTACCTGTCCGTTGTGCGGCGCATTCTGTCAGCCACTGTGCCCCTCACCAAACACATTCTTCTTCTCAGCTCCTCCATTTCCCCACACTCCGCCAATGTCATCTCCAATGTCTCACCCGATCACACTGCCTCATTCATCCTCTTCACCGTCACCAACATCAATCTCACTACATCTCGGTCAGTCGCTCGCTCGCTCGCTCACCCACCCATTCACACACACACACACACACACACACACACACACGGAACTCTCGAGTCCTCGAGTAGGCACACTGTCTGTTCCCGCCGCATCCAATCTCTTGACAGACAGACACAAATTAACAATTGTGATCAGATCGATCACATAGTCAGTCCATGTGAGTAGTCATCCATGTGGATAGGAGTGATGTGGTGGTCTGATCGATGAGTTAGTTGTCAGTGAAGATGGGTGACCTTGCTCTCACACTGTTCGACACTGCTCGTGAGGACAGCCGATCCAACAACAGTGACAATAACAAACAATACCGGCCAGTACTAATGCAAATACAGTTGGTGTGATGAAATGTGGTCGTGGGAGATATGTGGTAGAGACGGAGTGGAGTGGACAAAGACTGACGAGCAGCAATGCATGAGTGTGACGATAGTGCACATATCCATCGACCTGTGAGTAAGAGGTGGACATGCAGACACACACACACACACACAGATCAGTGTGATTGGCAGTGTGGATGGAGAGAAATGTGAGTTGGATGGTGAACGGTGAACGGTGAACGGTGAACACAGTGTGCATGTGGAGGCAGTGTGACAATTTGGTGTGGATGGTGGGTGATGTGCATGATGTGTGTATGTGCGGACTGTGTAGCAGCTAGCTGACCGATCGACCGACCGACCGACCGACCGACCGACAACATGATTGTGAAGTTGCAGTGGTCGAGGCAGGTGCATAGCGTGGTGTGGTGGTATGGGATTGATTGATTTTGGTATGTTGAGGAGGTGGGCAGAGTGGACGACAGTGTGAAGGGATGGATCGCTGTCAAAAGTCGTTAGCAGAGCGTGGTTTCGATCCACGGACCTCTGGGTTATGGGCCCAGCACGCTTCCACTGCGCCACTCTGCTCGATTTCGCCAAACAACAACTCACTCAGATCATCCATCACTAACCAACAGCAACAGTCACCAACGATCAATCACTCACTCAACCACACAACTATCATTCACTCGATCAATCACTCGATCGTTCGCTCACTAGCCTGCACGTTCGTGCGTTCATTCGTTGGTTCGTTGGTTCGTTGGTTCGTTGGTTACTTTGTACTTTCGTTATTTAGTTGTTTCTTTCAATCATAAATTCATTCATCCATGCGTCCCGTCCATCCACGCTTCACTCCATCCATCCATTCATCCACTCCGTATAATAACTATCCTAACGAACATTCTTCAGTCAACCGACCAACCGAGCATTCTCACTCAATCACACACACAGACACACACACGTGCACACTGTTTATCAGTCACTCCGACCACATCAACACCACTCACTATCCATCCTCATCCACCTCCACAGTCTCATCCCCTCCAATCCCTCATATCGTCCACCACTAGTCCAATCATTCTTCTGCCTCAACACCTATCTCCACAACCATTTTGTACACCGACTGACTCGTACCTCCACCTCTTCCCACTCTCCTCTCTCTACTAACCACTACTCACTCACATTCATTGTGCAACAATCCACATCGCCTCTGCTCATCTCTCTGCACACAACTCTTCTGCTTACTGTGTTCTGATGGCCTGCCTTCCACTAGTCTACCTGTCCGTTGTGCGGCGCATTCTGTCAGCCACTGTGCCCCTCACCAAACACATTCTTCTTCTCAGCTCCTCCATTTCCCCACACTCCGCCAATGTCATCTCCAATGTCTCACCCGATCACACTGCCTCATTCATCCTCTTCACCGTCACCAACATCAATCTCACTACATCTCGGTCAGTCGCTCGCTCGCTCGCTCACCCACCCATTCACACACACACACACACACACACACACACACACGGAACTCTCGAGTCCTCGAGTAGGCACACTGTCTGTTCCCGCCGCATCCAATCTCTTGACAGACAGACACAAATTAACAATTGTGATCAGATCGATCACATAGTCAGTCCATGTGAGTAGTCATCCATGTGGATAGGAGTGATGTGGTGGTCTGATCGATGAGTTAGTTGTCAGTGAAGATGGGCGACCTTGCTCTCACACTGTTCGACACTGCTCGTGAGGACAGCCGATCCAACAACAGTGACAATAACAAACAATACCGGCCAGTACTAATGCAAATACAGTTGGTGTGATGAAATGTGGTCGTGGGAGATATGTGGTAGAGACGGAGTGGAGTGGACAAAGACTGACGAGCAGCAATGCATGAGTGTGACGATAGTGCACATATCCATCGACCTGTGAGTAAGAGGTGGACATGCAGACACACACACACACACACAGATCAGTGTGATTGGCAGTGTGGATGGAGAGAAATGTGAGTTGGATGGTGAACGGTGAACGGTGAACGGTGAACACAGTGTGCATGTGGAGGCAGTGTGACAATTTGGTGTGGATGGTGGGTGATGTGCATGATGTGTGTATGTGCGGACTGTGTAGCAGCTAGCTGACCGATCGACCGACCGACCGACCGACCGACCGACAACATGATTGTGAAGTTGCAGTGGTCGAGGCAGGTGCATAGCGTGGTGTGGTGGTATGGGATTGATTGATTTTGGTATGTTGAGGAGGTGGGCAGAGTGGACGACAGTGTGAAGGGATGGATCGCTGTCAAAAGTCGTTAGCAGAGCGTGGTTTCGATCCACGGACCTCTGGGTTATGGGCCCAGCACGCTTCCACTGCGCCACTCTGCTCGATTTCGCCAAACAACAACTCACTCAGATCATCCATCACTAACCAACAGCAACAGTCACCAACGATCAATCACTCACTCAACCACACAACTATCATTCACTCGATCAATCACTCGATCGTTCGCTCACTAGCCTGCACGTTCGTGCGTTCATTCGTTGGTTCGTTGGTTCGTTGGTTCGTTGGTTACTTTGTACTTTCGTTATTTAGTTGTTTCTTTCAATCATAAATTCATTCATCCATGCGTCCCGTCCATCCACGCTTCACTCCATCCATCCATTCATCCACTCCGTATAATAACTATCCTAACGAACATTCTTCAGTCAACCGA